ATTTCTTTTACTAAAATAGCTTGTGATCATATGGCTAAGTGTGTGTTATAAATTGCATTCTCTATGAGATGTTGTTAGGCTAATTAAGTTTCTAAGGGGAAAAAATACCACCATACGTATTCCGTGTGTTTTATTTCCCTATCGTCTTACTATAAATATATACGTATTAATGAATCATCCTTAATGTAAGGAAACTATTGCTTTTATTTTGTCCGAATACAGAAACTGTAGAGTCACAGGGAATTTTATAAGCTTGATAATGTCTCTATAACTGGCTGTATTGTTCTTTCCTTCCATAATGTCATATGCCATTTGAATTTCCCAGGGTTCCCAATGATTCTCAGTTGTAATCATTATTAGACTGCCAGAGTATTCGGTTTACACAAACAGACAGAAGGCCAAAGCAACTTAAACATTCTCATTGAGTCATATAAAAGAAAAGGCTTTCAGCAAAAGAGTTACTCCTTTCAGCGATAACATTCTCAAGCTATACAATCGCATATTACTATTATTTATTATTATTCCCTTCAGTTCTGAGTGGGACATCGGGCTTCAACAACCCATCTCCTTTTCCTTCTATTTCCTGATGTCCTCTCCACAATTTCCCATAATCTCTCATCTCTTCCATTTCGTCACACGATCACCTCCATGTCACCCTTGCACCAACCACCCACTAGTCGCTTCGCATTTGTATTCCACTCGAGCAATGGCCTGCATTGAGCTCAATGCTATACGCCTTCTCAAAGGCGTATGCCTGATCCATCTCCATTTTTTCTCCTGCATATTTGTTGAGCAATCGGCTGCCGCCTATTGGTTTGTTCCCAGCCAGCTTGAGAAAGTTTCTTATTGCTCATTCTCTCCGGCCAGTTGATCTTTAGCACGGAGCCAATTAAGGGGGGAGCTATTGATAAAAGTCGGAAGTGGCTTGATGGAAATACTTTTCTTGACACGCTGCTCAAGTTTCTCACCCGTGTAGAAGAAGTGACTGACTGACTTCACATTTGCGTTGAAAATACGAATCTTCCTCTTTATGCTGATTGAGTTAGTGCAGAAGATTTCCAGGTGTCAGGTTGATGAAGGCGTATCTTGCCTCGCTTTTCCGATTCTGGTTGGCTTTGACATCATCTGTTCCTACTGGCTGTGGTTGAAACCGTGCTTTCCAGCCAGATAAGTGAAGGAAGTAACCTCTGTCAAATCTCCTCCGTCGATGGTGACTGGTGCTGGTTGTTGTTGCTGTCGGTCGCTTATCCTCGTCGCTACTGCAGATTGTATTGTCCTTTCTTCTCACACTATCACGTACCACTGGAATTTCTCATGATTCCCATTGATTTTCACATCTAATAATTACAGTCTTCTAGGGTATTCAGCTTACACTACCAGAAAAAATGCCAACCGGTTTTTACTTCATTTCATTAAATATTCTCATAAAACTATATACTACTGATTAATTGAGGTGAGTAGTTGGATACCACTGATATCAACCAGTAGTAGTGTTTGCCATCCAGCCAAATAGAAATGATTTAAACACCAGCATACTTTATTATATCACACGACAGGCTCTCAACTGGAACCCAAACGGGAAGCCGCTAGTTGGTCGTCAGTGCGAGGGTGGTGTGACATGGAGGAGTTCATGTAAAGAGGAGATGAAAACATGTGGGTAGACGTGGAGTTGGCAGAGAACCGAACGCAATAGAGACGTGCGACTGAAGCCTTATGTCCCTTTAGAAACCAAAGGAAACAATAATAGTTTATTACAGCGTATAGTTTTATGCAAATATGTTTTCTTTCTTAATTACCGTTTGTGGTATCGAGAAGGTCACACTGTGTGACATGGATAATTTTGATTTCCAGCGAAAACTGTGGTGAAAAATTTCACCTCCTCGAAGTGTGTAAACTGCAAAACGGATAAATAGGTAGCAAATTTTAAATCTGATTTATAGTGTTGTGGTGGTGTGATACAGGCGATGTATTCCAGAGAAATATTACTCTCACATATTCCCACAGTGCAATACTGCATTAGCAACAGAATACTATATTAGCTTAAAAGTCCCTATTGGGTCATATGAAAAAGAGAAAACGTTCTACGGAGAAACTCTTTTCGACGAATTCATTCACACAGCTGTACAATTGCATTTACATATAATTATTTGTGTGTATGTGTGTACATGAGGTTTGTCAAGTCTAAATAATTGATCAGGTAATACAAGAATGATCGAATATAGAAACAAGATTAATTATACCACAACTAAAGTAAGATTGAGTTAGTTAGTAAGTTAGATGACGTAATATAATCGACTGAAATGCTTCAACTTAGTTCAGGATAGCATCAGAGGTAATTACAGGTAGAGACTAATTAGAGGTGAGGTAGAGAATAATACCACTTAAATTACAACTGAATTTGAGCATGACGTGCCATGAATGACTAGAAATTGAGTGTTGGTCAAGTCAGTAACAGTGGTATTGAAGTGTAGAAATTAAATCGGGTGGTGGTAGAGAACAGAAAAAGTGAAAATTTAAAATATTACAATTGTAAAGACAAAATAATGCTAATGAAGAAACAGAAAGAAATAGAATTTACCTGTTGAGTACTAAGACAGATTACGTCGATTGCAAGTGTAGTGATTGAACGAGCTTCTTCTGTATGCATATTTCAGGACTTAGCAAGTGAATTGCCATTGCTTTCGCAGTTTGAAGAAGTCTGATACGTATACTTGTATTACCTGATTAATTATTTAATCTTGACGAACAACATGTACAGATACACACCAATAATTATATATAAATGCGATTGTACGGCTATGTGAATGAATTCGCTTAAAAGAGTCTTTTCGCAGAACACTACATTTATCTGAACATTCTATTTCATGTTGTTTATTGTACACCGAAATCACAGGCTCAGTAGGTGGTTAAAGAATATAAACTGTATAGATATAAAGAGCAGTTGGATCACTTGAAAATATACCTTGGCCTCCGTGTCTTGTCTTCAGCTCTAGGAGTTCAAAAAGAGCCTCAGTAAGGTGCCTCTTCAGTAGAATCCAACGAATATGCACTGAGAATACACTTGATGAGGAAGAGAGAACGTTGACACAAACTCTGATTGGTAACAGTTATCCAGACAAGTTAATCAGGAGATATAAAATAGTCAGAACACCAAGACCCACTATCCATCTCACCCTTAAGAAAGACATGTACATCAAGCTACACTATATGGAGCATCACAGCACCTTGACAACTAGACAAAGATTGAACGCTGCTGTTCAAAAGACTTTTTATCCAGTTAATATCATAATGATAGAGAATGTGAAGCCAATATATCTATCTAAGCCCTTAAAACATGCGAAAAATGATGTCATATCCCACTGTATTTACCTTTTTGAATGTACGTGTGGACACACATACTTAGATATGACTCATCGATCTCTGCAAGTAAGCGCTGAATTCACAGCATATTCCTAAATGGCTCCAGAAACAAATGGAATCTTCAGAACCCATTAATGGTGAGAACAGGAAACCTTGCTCTTCTACTGAGAAACATATTATAGAGACAGGAAATAAAATTGAGTGTTTACACATCTTTTAAACCCATGTATAAAACGTGTTTTGGGATTAGCCTAAGGTTTGTGGAAGCCCTAACTGGCAATTAGAAAGTTTAAACCACCTTTATGCGTTCAAAGCAACAATTCGTCACCACATTAAACCTTCTTTGGTAAACTTTGTTTTGATACCATAGCAGATGTACAACTACCCTTCTTACTTAGTTTAGTAATCTTCATTGGTACTTTGACTTTCGATATGTCCTTTAAACTTGACCTAAGTCTATTTTCTCACCTCTTAACTCTTTATTAACTTCATATATATTTCTATGACAAATCTGTGTGTAGTCAGATTGTTCGGAATGTGTTGCGCAAATTCATTACACGATTCAGACAAATTACGTCTTCTTATTGCTTTATCTATGAGCTCAGTAAATTTTGGTACACCGCTGATGACCTTGTCCCCCAAAAACGGTCGAAATGGCCGATCGATGTTTAGATCAGGTCGGACCAATATGTGTGGTATACAACTAAGGAATCATATGAATCAACCACTAGTATGTCGTTTAACGAAATGATGCTTGCTTTCTTGAATACCATCTATGGTTTGAAGTAGATCATATATTCTGATCAGAGTAACCTGCTCTCTGAAAGAAACTCTGGTGAGAGTTTCATCCCTCAAACTGTGTTCACTGCAAATTATGAATTAAATAGATATTCGCTGAACAGTGTTCAGGCACTCAGCTTGCATGGGGAGATATAAACAGTCGTGCCACTATATTGAACCTATTGAGAAGTAATGATAAATGCTTCAAAATATTTTTGTAGCTAACATATAACAACTTTTAACCTTTAAAACTTCATATTAAATATTTCTAACCCCTGAATAGTTGTTTATATCGACTGTCGTTTACAGACCGTAAAATACCCTGAGAAAACCATGACCTGAAGTTAATGTAAGCCCTATATAGTCCTCTACTAAACAACAACATAGAAATTAGAGAATTACTGAAGACCAAGGAGCACTGGACAATTGTCTTGTGCAAGTTCAGGACGCTCCAGCATTATCTGCCCACAACCGCACAACAGATTGAACGTGGGACTCTCAAGTTACCAAGCCACACTCTGTGGGTGACTCGTAAATTAACCTGAAGGTCACAGGTTTGATCCCTGGTATGATCACGAGAGCACGCAGTTGAAGAGCCACAAACCGAGACGAAATACCTATGCAGTACCTCCTTGTTTCCAAAGATCTTCCTGACTGATGTTGATTCGTGCCGAAATCTACATTGGAATTAATCTAGGGCCCCATGAAAATGTTGATTCTAAAATTATTTCTGTTCTTCTGGCCGTCCATTTATGCACATTTCTCGAAACACTATAAGGTATCTCAGCTGCCGTTGTACTCAGAAAATTCACAATGTTTTAAGGTATTTCTCTTTTTCAATTACTTCCTCTCATTTAAAGATATGAACGACAGCAAAAGATAGAAAAAGTTTATCTGGACAATAAATCTCTACGTTCTAAGCAAATACCTGAAGAGATCACAACAACTGAATTACAACTTTTTTGGGAGAAAGGAATGCCACTGAAACCAGCACGTAGAAATTGGCCTCCACCACCTCCACAGCAGTATGTTTCACCTCCACGATCACCGCCGCCTACAGCGAAATCACATTCAGTTTCTATACATGTTCCACCTCCAAGACCAGTTGTGATTCCAACGCCACCAGCACCTCAACCACAACCAGTACGTCCACAACCACCACCACCACAGCCTGTGAAACAACCTTCTATTGATCCACATATTATTCCCCATGATCCAGATGTAGCCAGTGTCTCAGTGAAACAATTGATGCGAGAATTTGATGTGCCACCGATAGCACCTGAATTGAAAAGTAAGTAATTGGTAATATTCATTCAGAAATAGTTGTAGAGGAGTTGAGTAATTTCAAAACTGTCCTTCTACTTACATAGTGATATTAATCAAAAACCATGGAAGACTAAGGCGAGTAGAGCTTTTAGTTGTGTTTTGCATTTCTAAAACTATCAACAGCATTAGATGATTTTTTCGACTTTTGAATAGGTACTGAATGAAAACGTTCCTGAAATCTTTCTAATATTGTTAAAAATCACTGAAGGGTTGGTGGTGATAATAAATTTACAGTTACAGATTACAAGGAGGCTTTTCATAATTGATGTATGTGATGCAAGATAAGTTGTAAACGGTAATAAGAAACCTAGGTTGAATGAGTTAACACTCAGTCATTCCATAAAATAATGTACATACCACTTTGGTGGATGTACTTTTCAAAGTTATCTGAAAAAAATGAAAACGTGTTTATAACTTGTCACGTATCGCTTATTTGTTACTTGTCCTTTGGGTTCCTGATGAAACTTTGAGTCTCAGCGCCACATGGCCATTGCCTTTGGTTCGCAACAGTATGTTTTAGGTTGCTCCATAACTTCTTATTTCCTCTTAGAATAATTTCATTCAAGTCACTCTTGAACACCCAAATTGTCTATCCCCATTCGAGTACCACTAGATGGAAACTGCTTCAACTCTGTAGAAGATTTCAACTTCGTGGACGATTTATGTCTTATATCACTCAAACTCAGAGATCTATAGACGAAAACTAACAACTTGACAGAAAAGTGAATATAAAGAAGGGGGAGGCGATGAAGATACCCACAGACTAACAACAATAACCATTAATCATTAAAAAAGGGAGAAGTTTGAAGGTAGTCACTTGTCTCACTTATCTACAGACAACATCACTTCAACTGCAAGCAGAACGAATAAGAATTTGAATGGCAGGATCGAAGAGGTAAGACAGACCTTCAACACCTTGAAATCAGTGTGGAAATCTTCCACAATCAGCATAGAGAACATGATTTTTTCTTTCCAAAACCTTTGTTAATTTAGTTCTTCTATATGGTTGAGTGATTCATCTCGTCACAAAAAGCATTTCCAACAGGCTATACTCCCGAACTTCGCTTCATATTGAAGATTAGATGGCCGGTCAGAAAGAATAAGCAACGGGGAACTCTGTCAATTAACCGACCGAGGACATATTGCCTAAGAAATATTCTAAGGGAAATAGAAATGCATAGGACACACTCAGTTGTTTCAACAGCTTATGAAGGTTTTTGGCTGGTTGGTCGCTTCACAGCCAGACTTCTTTATTGCTTGTCTTTTCTCATCAGCGATCTGGTCTTCAGTATGCAATGACAGCGGGACTTGATGAAAACCTGCAGGTACCTGTTGAAAATGCTATTGACAACGCGTGCGAAGTCGGCGTGTCAGTATTAGTTTTATGCTGATTGCAGTAGATTTCCACACTGACGTCAGAGTAATATGGGTGTGCTTTACTTCTACAACCCCGGCTTTGACATCCACATATATGCAGATTGTAGTTGAAGTGATACTGTTCAGATGAGATAAGAATTTGAGTTTCATCTAGATTTCGCCTCACCCTATCTGATCGTTACTGATGCTTGTCGTTATTTTTGTTGGCTGAACGTCTTCACCACCCCTCTCTTCTCAATGTTTATAATTTGTCACACATTTTCATATATTCCCCATCATTTTACAATAGTGTAAACTAGCTGGCCTATCGGACACTATTTCCACCCATAAGAATGATAATGATATCATCAAGTCAGCTAATATTCACTGCCTGACATTTTATTAGTTTACTTCTTACCGTTTTTACTCCCAATGGTAAACACAAGACCATCTGTAAGCAGACAGATTGATTTTAATTATTTTCTATAGGCCAATTCATTATCATAACACAAGAATTCCTTTACAACGCCTATGCCATTCATCAAATTGAGGGGTAATAATAGTGACTACCTAAAAAATTACTCTCCCACAACAGATTTATGAGTAGAAAAACAAAACAAGTGATTCCGCGGAAAGACGTTTTTCATTTATGAGTGTCAATCAATTTTACAGTGCTGTAATTAAAGAGCTGACTTGTGCGGGAAACATTTTACTTTCCTGAATTCATACTATTTAATCAAAATTAAATACAATATGAAATGACATAACATTCCTGAGAGAAAAGCGGAGTTCACTGTTCAACTGTAGTATAGTTGGTTTGCAAGGGTTAGTAATGTTTTTACGAGTTGATCACGGATTGATATCAGTTAGAGAACCATTGAAAACCAACCAGGGAGTACTGGACAGCTGTTTCATCCTAGTTTGGGAACCATCATCAGTACGCACCCACCACCGGGGTTCGAACCCAGGACCTTCCGGTTACAAGCAAGCAAGTTCGTATACCATTCAGCCACTGGGACCCAACCCGATTCAATGGCTAGCCCATGCATGAATTCTAACCTCCACCAATTCGTGATTTAGCGCGACCATTGTTATAGGTGGGACATCCATCCTCATACGTGACATCTGGATGGATCTCACTGGTCACTTCTCACTAGAACTGACTCCAGGAAACTCCATCCTGTAGCAAGTCACTAGCGAGCATCAGATTAATTTTCTATAGTTTGGTAAAACATAACTAACCCTTACAAACCAACTATAGAAAATTAATCTGATGCTCGCTAGTGACTTGCTACAGGATGGAGTTTCCTGGAGTCAGTTCTAGTGAGAAGTCGTGACCAGTGAGATCCATCCAGATGTCACGTGTGAGGATGGATATCCCACCGACGACACTGGTTGGGGTCGTGCTAAATCACGAATTGGTAGAGGTTAGAATTCATGCATGGGCTAGTCATTGAATCAGGTTGGGTCCCAGTGGCTGAATGGTATGCGAGCTTGCTTGCTTGTAACCGGGAGGTCCTGGTTCGAATCCTGACTGTAGGTGCGTACTTCCGATGATTCCTAAACTAGGATGAAACAGCTGTCCATGTACTCCCTGGTTTTCAATGGTTCACTAACTGATATCAATCCGTGATCAAACAAAATTTAGTATCATTTCAAACTATGAATTTATGTCATAATTATCTGATTCACTAATCGTCTATTGAATGAAATGTAAATTTACACCAAGTTCCTTCTCACTACTTGGCAAACTGGGTGCAGTCGGAGTAAATGTTATGGAATTTAAGTGTAACGGATGACAGATGAGAATGCAGTCTGTACCAGCACCAAAGACTCGACGCACGATACTAGTCACCAACTAATCTCTAATCAAAGTACTTGGTGCGGTTCTTTTGGAGGTCAATCTCAAACCAAAACAGCCCAGTGCTAACGCATCTGACAACAGCATTGGGTGATCCGAGTTCAAATCTCAGAAGGGACATGAGTTCCTACAAGACCGCTGATCCGTCTTGATGACGAGTTCCAACAAGCCCGAAACCTAGATCCAGAGTTGCAAGACGATGACCTCCAACCATCTAGTAGGGACAATTCAGAGTGTACCTTGATTGACAGAACTAAGTCTGCAGCAACACCTAGGAATAAATGCGTGATAGATTACTAGCTTACTTAGTATCTAGTCAAAAAAATCTAGGTTTCTGCAAGATTTACACCAGTCACCTTCAGATTTCCAGCCCGGCATCCAACTACATGAGCGATAAGACATCTGCGAATCGGAACATCATTTCTTTACAGCCTTTGCCAGTTATACTCAGCTGTCATGTTAATGAAACAATGTTACCTAGATGTTTGTCTGTCACCGAACTAGCCACTCAGTTAGGACTTCTTCCCATCGATTCCAATCCTACTGACTTAGTAAGACCATCTTGAATAGTCTTCGATAAGCTTTTCCTCCTCTAATTGAAGAGGAGAAGAACCAAGTGGATAGCTGTTGTGTTAACAAAAAGGACAGTTACTTATCATCTATTCGCATGATAATTAAGTGTGAATCATAAAGATTATATTGAAATGTAGGTGTGGATGCGTTTCATTGCTCCTATGTTAGACAGCCAGGTTAGTAATTTAGAGGCTACTTGTCTGAATCATGCCATGATCCAAAATTTTACTTCGGTCATCACGACTACCAGTGGAATCCAGGATAACGTGCATTTTGTCCTACTTGGGACTCCTCATTTGAATGTACCTGCATTCCACAGTATGTGATGGTGTCCCCAATGAGGTTTGAACCCCGTACCCATCTTTTCAAAGGTCAAAGTGTTATTCACTAGACCACTTAAGCCATGACAGTCACCCCTTTTACAACTGCACGAACTTATGCATGTATAGTGTAGGCTTAATAGTCCGAATGCCAACCGTCTTAGCTACTATATGCAGTGGACAAATACGCGGTCCATTGGAAAGATACGGTAGAATGCAATGAATCGCTTTGAATGCCTTCGTTTTTTCCACTAAATGTGACAAAAAGGAGCTTCGGATAGTTTTTCTTCTATCCTTTTTCAAACCCTAAAGGGAGATGGCCTATTCTTGGTTTAAGTCCTAGTCATTCGTCTCCTAGAGAATGACAAACATGGGTTTGTTGCGTAAAATATTCTCCGTATAATTCTGGCTAGTCTCTGAAACATAATTGCTATGAGTAATTACGTAATTTGTATGCTTACCGTCATCATCCCGTGTACGAACTGCCATGATTATTCAACTGTTTTGGTGTGTGATCAAAATTGATGTATCTCACAAGCATATTTGTCTGATTCTATTTTCTAGAAAAGAACTATGCTGACTCATCATTCTATTCGGATCCTTCAAAATATTATCCAACAATTGAAGAACAAATTGCAATGGCTAGACGAGTTGCCAACAGTCTGCACGATCCATATAATCTTGAATCAAAGGGGGCATGTATGTTTGAGAAACAACGACAAAGAGCAGAAAAATATGTCAAAGAAGGACCAGAGCCTAAACCAGATCCAATTGAATCAGTGAGTAATATTCAGTAATATTGTCGCTTGTTTTCTTTTTATGGGAAAGAACTAAACATTATCCAGTTTGAAGTAGAGTCCACAGAATTTCGTCCTTGAATCGTTGGTGCAGGGATAGAAAAAATGTTCAACAGAGGAGGGATAAGAGATGGCGGCGTAGAATCTGCGTTTGACGGCTGAACGAAGTGTTTGAGCTATCAGCTGCATAATCTGGTCACCTTTGAATGCCTAGGTTTATAAAGATAGCTTTCCTTGGTACAGAAGCTGTCTTTTCTAGATGTGGTCCATCCTTACGTATCTACATATCAAGAGGAAAATCGCCTGTCTATTTAGATTATGTGAATGGAATTTGATTTTTATAAGATAAAACCGTTGAAGTGTTGTGATATTACAGCTGCTAGATTTTCTAAGCTTTTAATGCTACGCAAACAAGAAATAAATGACCAATTTATTGTCTTTCCACTTGTTCTTGTCCACTCTACACAATTATATTGATAAGTCATTTTTTCACACTTATTACGTCATGCCAACTTCTGCCTATTTTCTAACTTCCAGTTAGTTATCCCTTCTGGGTTACATCTTAATTGTGGTGGACTGGATTATGCAGAAAACTGTGGGGAGCGAGGAGACAAAAGTACGCTGGACCACCGATAAGAAGACTCTAGAACATTTGGACTTCGCAGATGACTTATGTCTAATGGTACATAAACTCGAAGACTTAGAGGTGAAAACCAACAAACTGTCTGAAGAAGTGGGGAGGCAGCGAAGACAGGAGAGAATTCAGCTGAACACAGAGAAGACGGAGGTGATGCAGATACCCACGCACCAATAGAAACAACAACCAGCACCAAACGCCATCAACGGAAGAGATTTCAAAGGGGTTACTTCCTTCACTTATCCGTCCAGGAAGCATCATTTCAACTACAGGCGGAACGGATGAAGATGTCGAAGCTGACCAGCCAGCCAAAATCGAAAAGGAAAGATACACATTCATCAACCTGAAACCCGTTTGCAAATCTTCTGCACTGCACTCAGCCAGCATAAGGAACAAGATTCAAATTTTCAACATAGATGTGAAGTCAGTCAGTCAGTCACTTCTTCTGAGAGGATCAGAAACTTGACCAGTGTGTCACGGAAAGCACTTCCAACAAGTTACAGTCTTTTATCGACAGCCACCCACTTCGTTGGCTGGCTCCACACTGCAGGTCAAATGGCCACCCGGACTGCCGACTAGCCAGCCAGAAAGAATTAGTAACAAGAAACTCTGGCAGGCAGTGAACCAACGAAGAACCGATTTCATGCATTTATTCCCCTTGATGAATTTGAATAAAGCAAGAACGAAAGTGGGTTGTGCAGAATATTATGGTACCATCAATTATTTCGTTGGCTTCTCATCAGTTGCTTTACAGCCCAAATACATAATGAGGTTTGCGTACAGAAAAGTTTTAACATACTTGCAAATTTTTACATGTTGCCAGTTGACAAAAAGTTCCACAGTAAGTGAACAGTGCTCAGAAAATTGCGCTTATATAGTTTTTACACATGCAGTTCAAGTTTAAACAAAATAGATGTATGCAT